GTATGAATTATTACTGATCTACCTTTGCGAAGAAAGTTTCCTTTGCTAGGATGTAGCATATCAGGAGACATGAATGTGTAGTTTGCTCTAGGATCCGCTTTCATGTTATCAAATGTAGCTTTATCCACCACATCATCCACCTCCTTTTCAGTTAGTTTTTTCCCTAGGAAGTTGCATATTTTCAGTACAGAACTTCTCAGATCCTGCAATTTGATAAAGCTTTATATTAGTTCATCCAGAACAATGGAGAAAAGATGGAAAATATTGATGATATATTTCAGGAATCCTCAAGTTTTCTTTGTAATACGTATCTTGCATATTAAACTTTAATTCTTTTCCTACTGAAAAAAATACTTTGAGATAAACATTTTTACTTCACAATATATTTATGTGCAACAGATTCAGACATATTCTTAGCAATCTTGGCTGCATCAGAGGCTGGCCAGTTCCCAAGCTCGGCTAAAAAAATGCCTTGCCAAGATTGGCTCTACGGTGACCTCTGCTACTCCCTATTGGAATAAGTTATTTACATATCCCATCATTTCTAAAGCTTTCTGTGTTGATGGTTGTACGTATTGCACTACACAACTGAAACACATCTTACCTTTTTCATTTCTTCATAAGACAGGAAGAGAATATTGAAATCACTCTTATGAGAGTACCAGCCTTCTATATGGTCTAGCCACGAACTATAAGGCACTGATAGGAGAGAAATGAGTTTAGCTTAAACATGAGGATGAATGCTTGAATTTCCTCCACTTATCTTTATGATTCTGGTGGGCCTAAAGATCAAAGCATGATAGCTCAACTGGTGGTTTCCCAAATATCTGCACAGTCTAGCCATGAACTACAAAACATGAACTACAAAACACTGATAGGAGAGAAATCTTAGTATTTCTCATCTCTCTCCCTTAATAAGCTGCCTTCTCTTTCCTCCCACTCACTTTTACATCATAGTTGTCCTAGGAGGCCTGCATTCCTTTCCACCCGTCCATATATAATATTTGTGTAGACTTTGCACACATTACTGCACGAGTATAGAGAATCATTATTCATTTCTTATGTTAGGAGAGAAGGTGGATATTTTTCTCTTTGTGGGAAGCGGATTGAAATATATTCATAATCTCTTATCCATAAGAAAAACTGACAAAACATTTGTCATGATCAAATTCTTCTTACCTTTGCCAGCCAAAAACATCTCC